GATGTTTGGTACATGGGTTAGTGACAGCTTCACATGCACTTTAGTACCTCAGCTGGGCAAAAGGTGACAGAACCAGTACAGGGAAATTGAAATGAAATGATCCCATGGGTTTGGGTTTGTTTTTTGTTTTTGTTTTTGTTTTTTTCCTCCTTAAAATCTTATCAGTCATTCCGGGCTGGGCGGGGACAGGGGGAAGCCTGGTATGTAACTTTGAGACATGTCACACCATGTAGAAAACCTGGTTCTCTGCTATCATTTTTAGGACAAGTGGTATAACAGTGTCTTTTCCTCATGGTTAGATTTTCCACCTCAACTCAACAATACAATTTAACAAAATATCAACTTAAACAGGAATGAAGGAGGAAACTGTAAGGTACATAGATCAAGTGGACAAGATTTCTGCAATTCAGGAGCCGGCCCACAGCCCCAGGCACGAAGGACTGGCACTGAGTGGCACTTAGGGACTTCAGATGATGATTCTTACTTATTTCTTCCATGGCAGGTAGCACTTTCAACCCCTTTCCTGTTTGTGTATAAGAGATCCCTAAAAAGGAGCTGGTTTTACTAAAGATTCCTCTTTTTCTCTTTTTCCCTCCCTCTGCTTGTCCCTCCATCCCTCCATTCCTTTTTTTATTTCCTTCCACCTTGCTGCCAAAACCATCACTTACCAAACGTCCGCTATAAGCCAGACATATCTAAAAGTAGAAGATACTGTGGCTACTAAGACAAAGTCCTAGACCTTTTCCCACTAACATCCTGGTTAGGAAGATTGCCTTCCTAGCCCAAACTCTAAAACTCTATGTGTCTGAAGGTAGTGCTCTGAAAAAAAAAAAAAAATCTGTCCTTGAATAATGTCCTTGAAGAAGCTAGAGTGCATACATAAATCCATCAATACGCTGGGGCGTTGTTTGAACCTGACCTCTGAAACAAGCAACAGAAATATTTTGACTTTATAAATAATGCCTTAAGTATATTTATAGTGTGTCTTTCCAGGACACAGCTCCAAGAACCTCAAGATTTATGTGATATATAGAGAGGAAAATCATCCTTGTGTGATATGTATGGAAAATAGGTTTTAAAAAAAATCAAGTGACAAACCTCTGTAGGATAATCAACTTGAGGACACTTGTCAACCAGTATCCCACAGGAGTCATCTTACTTAATTTTTTTGTCAACAACGTGGTTAAGTGGATCTTATAAATGATTCAAAATATGTCTGAGTGGCTGGAACTAGAAGCAAAAATGGTTTTTCAAACAACCTTGACAGCGATTCCTGTTGACAAACAAGGGGGAAGAGATGATGAATGTTCCCAAAGTGATAGGTCCTTCTTCACAAGGGAAGGGGGTTGTGCGAAGGTTTAACACATTGAGCCCAGCTGCTGTCTAAGAAATTCTGTTCATTCAAAGATGCCAGAATTTTGAACTCAGAGAAGAAAAGAAGAAAACGTCTGGGAGATGAAGCCTTGCCTATACTGCATAACTTTGGTTTTACAATCAAAGGATTGAAAGATTGAAGTTGAAATGACAACCCCCCCCCCAAAAAAAAAAAAAACAGGTTGTCCCAGTTGTTGATTTACAGCTTCTCACCTCCAAATTCACTCTTCACAGTTTTGCATGTGGTGCTGGCGCGCTGGATCCTGTGGACATCTGTCCTCTGCCAGGTGACCCAATGAGGAGCTTTGTCACAGGATGTGCTGCAAGAGCAGTGTTGTGAGGACGCAGAATTCAGCAGTACCTTTGCAGGCGTCTACTAGAGAGTCCTGTTCCAGAGCCAGAGCCGGCTTCCTAGGAAGTACCATATCCCCAAGCAGCTTCCTGATGAGTTGGCCAGTGACCCAGCTGGACTCCAGAGGGTGGCTCACAGTGAGTTTGATTGGCAGCTCACAGAACTCTGCTAGCCAGATGGCCATAACCACACCCTTTTCAGTAAGGCCCGGGTCTCAGTTTGGCCTTCAAGAAGGCCGTCTTCCAAATTTGTTCCTTCCTTGGGTTGTCTGCCTCAGTCTGCTCCTCGTATCTGCTATATGTACAATCTTGGGAGTTCCTTAACTCCTTAGAGTCACGAATTCTCTGTTACTAGTTAGTAATTCTTGAGATCAAACTTTCCCCGTTCACGACTGTGTGATTTCTGTTTCCTGACTAGGCCTTGATTAATATATTCACATCCAACAGAATCGCGTGCTTAATAGCTCACCAGAAGCTAAGTGGGGCAGATTCCATGGTAGTGCTATTCGTAATAGCCAGACTGTCCATTCCCAAAAGGAGAGAAATAATTTGTGGTATATTCATGGCAAGGAATGCTGGAGAGCAATGAGAGTAAACGAACTACAAATACATGCAACAACACAGACAAACAGAAACAGAATGTTGAATGAAAGAAACAGAAACAAAAGAAAATATGCTGTATGATTCCATTTATGTGAAGTCCCAAAACAGGCAAAACAAATTCTGGTGCTGGAAAGGAAGAAAAGTGGTTATTCCTGGAGGGGATTAGTGATTGGGAGGGGGAATAAGGAAATTCTGGAATGTTTCTTGGCCAGGGTATTGGTTATGTATATCATTGTTTATGCAAATGAATTGAGCAGTGCATTTTTTGTGTTTATACTTTCGATGTTTAAAAATGAGTCATGGCTGAAAATATGTACTATGTAATAAAAATGTTTAATAAAAACATACATATTTATCGAATGTACAAGTTATTAATTATCTGACTCAAGTAGTAAAGCAAAGCTCATTCAAGTCAACAAAAAAATATATGTACATAGTACAGTATCAGTCACTGTATATGATACTGAGGATCAAGGGATGAATCCAATATTCTTGGTTCTGTCTGCAAAGGAGCATGGTCTACAGGGGAGACCGACTTGAAAGTGACAACTACAACACAACAGGTTTCATGGATTCGTTCAGGAACGGATGAAGCGCTGCAGAGAGAGGAAGGAGCCGGGAATGGTAGACTATAAAGCTACACACAGAAAGGTGGTATCTGAGAGGGGACTGTCCCTCCACATGGTGCAGAAGTATGTGCTTGCTCCACTGTCCTCCACTGCTGTGAAGGGATGAGTAGAAGATGACCAGGGAGAAAGGGGGTAGCAGAGAGGACATGTGCAGAGACGTGAATTTTGAAAGTCACCATAAACTCAGAAAGCAGAGTGTTTAATGTGGTAAGAGTCTGGAGATCACTGGGAAGGACAGTAGCAGATGAAACTACAGAGATCAACTATGACTTAATTGTGACATACTTGTCTACCTTCTGCAAGTGTGGTTTTTAAACAAGGAGCCAAGAAGTGCCGTATAGCTAGTCTTCAAAGATGCCCTCCTGGCCCGCACCCAACTGATGCCTTGGTTAGACTTTCCCACAGTGAATCTGGGTTGGCCAATGGAACCAACAGATTTTGGTGCAAGTGACACTATGTGACTTCTGAGACCACTGCAGATTCTGCCTTTGTTTCTTGGAAAACTCATTCAAGGGATGACAGTTGTCATATAAGAAGTCCAGCAATCCTGAGACTACAGCATTGAGAGGAAGCACAGCCTAAGAGAGACCATGTGGAGAGGGCTGTTCCTCAGCCCAGCTTTCAGGGGACTCCAACCTCAGGTGACATCTGACAACCACTACATCAGAAAACCTCAGAAAACCCCAGTGGAGCTGTGTGTTGAGCATGTATAATATAAAGAACTGCAGGAAAGAAATTCTTTTTTTTTTTTGGCTCTACACTACATTTTGAATCACTACACTTCAGTGTGGTCTATTACACAGAACTAAACAACTAGAAAAGGCATTTTAGCATAGCAGTGCGACACAGAGAGTTTTGAGTTTGTTTTTTGGAAACACAGTCTGGAGACAGCATGAAGGTGGGCTGAAGAAGGCAGAGGTTGAAGGCACCAAGACATGTTTAAAGGCTTCTGCAAGAGGAGAAGTGGATTGAGAGGCTGGAATCTAGAAGTATCTGTGAGGCATACTTGACAGGATGTAGATAGATATCAAATAAATGTGTGGTGGGAAGGAGAGGAAGACTGTGAAAATCTTTCAGGTTTGTGCCCAAAGAGAATAGGTGGATAGATAATGTCCTTGGTAGAAATAAGGGCCTATTGGGACACGTGGGTGACTAAGTCAGTTAAGTATCTGCCTTCAGCTCATCATGATCCCAGGGTCCTGCTTCTCCTTCTCCTCCTGCCCCTTCCCCTCTCCCTGCTTGTGCTCTCTCTCTCTCTCTCAAATAAAGCAATGAAATCTTTTTAGAAAAAGAAATAAAGGCCTATATGGAAGCGTAGATGAGCTGTGTATATACTTAAGCTGAAGGGTTTACAAGGACATATTGCTGAAGAAGTCAAATAAGCAGTTGGAAAGTTTAAGGCACAGAGGAAATTGGGGCTGTACCTGCCCATATATACACACAAGGGCTCTGAGTCACATATAATGATGGTTAAAGTTATGGAAATGAGATCACCTATAGAAAGTGTTTCGGGCAGGAAGAGGAGGGACAAATATTCGGACTTTGGTAGGCTTGGGGCAGAGGAGGAAAAGCCCGCAGACAAAACTGAAAAAAAAAAAAATAGAGAAATAGAGAAGCAGGAGACTTGTGTCTTATAGGCAAATGGACAAGAGAATGTCAAGAGGATGGAGCTTTCATTGTCAAAAGCCACTGCAAGATCACGTAAGGTGAGGATGTGGTGTATGGTCTTGACAATTAAGAGGTCATCAAGTGTCAGCCTTTGATCAGAGTGAAAAGCAAAGACTATGAGAAGGGATTACTCTTTAAAGATACCTGGTGGCCACTGAGGGATCCCTTGATGGGATGAGCCCTGGGTGTCATACTATATGTGGGCAAATCGAACTTAAATCAAAAATGTAAAAAAAAAAAAAAAAAAGATACCTGGTGGCGAAATGGAAAACAAGGATAAGTTCGTCTGAGCAGGATAGCAAGCCACGGGGGGGGGGGGGGGGGGAGGGGGCCTCCGTGGGGAGGGGGAGGGGGCCTCCGTGGGGAGGGGGAGGGGGCCTCGGGGCAGGCTGGCCGGCACAAAGTCCCTGGTCTCACAGGCCTGCGCCTGCTCTTCCAAACGAGGCCCGCAGACCAGCAGCGGGAGCGTCACCCGGGAACGCACAGCACGGCGCCGAGGGGATCACAGCCCGCAGCTGAGCCAGGCCCAGGGAAGCAGGTGAGACCGGCATTACCGTTCCCGCCCTCACCTAGGGCGACACGCGGCTCGAGGAAGTCGCCCGACGCCGCGGAGCGGAGGAGGGGCTGAGCCGAGGTTCTACCCCCGAGCCTCAAGTTCTTTCCAAGAAGTAGACAAGCAAGTCCACAGGCCCCGTGTCTACCCCCGCTCTTGGCGGGGGGCCTGTTTCCGATGATGCCGTCTCCCACAATCGACCCCAGAGCCGCACTTCCGGCGCCGTCAGCGGCGACCCGCACAGCACAACCGTCTCCGAGCCTCCAGCGGCCTCTCCGCACCGGAACTTCACTTCCCAGCAAGCCCAGCGGCCTCCTGCCGCGCGAGGCACGACGGGCACCTCGGCCCGCTCTCCTCTCTGGCGGAAGAACCTTGAGGCGGGACCCGACGTGGCCGGACGCAAGGGCGCGCGGCGCCCTGGGACATGTAGTCTGGCCCCGACCGGGACGCCCCCTCGGATGAATGGGGCCCAGGCGGACTGCGAACTACAGCTCCTCGGCCGGCTGCGTCGGTGGCCGCCGCGGGGGAAAGGGAGCCGGCGGCGGCGGCGGCGGCGGCGGCCCCGCGGGGATGTTCCGTGCGGCGGGGGACGCGGCGGCGCGGCTTCCTGGGGTGGCGGTCTAGGCGGGCGCCTCCTCCCGCGCTCCGGCCATGCGCCCGGCCTTCGCGGTGGGCCTGGTGTTCGCAGGCTGCTGCAGTAATGTCGTCTTCCTGGAGCTCCTGGCCCGGTGAGTGACCGGCGCGGGGCGGGGCCGCTGGGGACCCGGCATCCCCGGAGGGCGACGCGGGGTCGGCCGCCCCCACCGCCTTAGCCGCGCACGGGATTGAAGCCTGCAGAGGGTTCCCTGGGCCGGGCCCCAGTCGGCCGCGGGTCGTGGCAGCACCCAGCGTTCCTCCAGCTCGTGGCTGCATCGCGTCCCTGCCGCCGCCGGGCTTGAGCAGAGGATGGGTCCTCGCCGAGGAGAAGGCCTCTTTCAGGTGGCCGCCAAGGCATTCGTGCTCTTGGCCTTGGAGATGGACTTGACCCAGGCGCGCCTCCCGGCGGCGGCGTGGGACGGAGGCTCGGTCCGGAGCCTGGCCCCTTGACCAGAGACAGGACTTCGGCACAGCCCGCGGATCCAGGGCGCGCATCCCGCGCTGTCGCGGTATACCCTGGGGCTGATCGTGACACTTCCCCAGAGGGAAGCGGGGTCCGCTTTACAGAGGCGGCGCTCAGCGCTGAGGAGCGGCAGAGTTCAGCGGATGGGCGCTGCTGTGTACCGAGAGGAGGCAGGCGGGCCAGCACACGCTCGCCCCAAACTGTCCAGGCTTGCTTTGGGCGTCCTCCTCGTTTAGCTGCTCTGGGCGGAGTGAGGAATAAGCTGTCTGTGGCGTCACCTAGTGCCCTGTGTCATAAGGTCGTGTATGTGTGTCTATAACACAGCAGGACATCCGATGGCCTTCATAGGATTTCTGCCTAATGTTTCGAGCTCTGTAAGGGCGTAAGATTTCAGGCTTATCAGAACGATCTTGTGTACCAAGCAGGCCAGGAGTTACAGTCTCTTTACTGAAAGTGAAACAGGTCCCAAGAAGTTAGGTGAGGTGGCAGGGCTAGCCCGGCACCTTTTGCGACCTCCGTGTTATTTTTGAACTTAAGCCGCCCACAGAATTCTGGTCAGTTCCTCACGTGCAGCCCGCTACGACTGTGTTTTGCCTTCGCGTTACAATTCAGAATTGCCTTCGCGATTAGTCATTCTGAAGCAATCAGTTTGCTCAGGGTGTGGGTTAAGTTTTGCTCTTGCAGAGCTTGAAATCTTATGCAGAAAGTGTTGATGAAGATCCGTCCCCTATTTTGGGAGTAGGTGGAGAGAGGTTTAAAAATGGAAAAAAAAAAAAAGCATCCCGTTGTCAGTCTGGTACACTTCAAAGGAAGATCACTTTGGAAATGGATTTAAAAATATTAAAAAAGTGGGATCCCTGGGTGGCGCAGCGGTTTGGCGCCTGCCTTTGGCCCAGGGCGCGATCCTGGAGACCCGGGATCGAATCCCACGTCAGGCTCCCGGTGCATGGAGCCTGCTTCTCCCTCTGCCTGTGTCTCTGCCTCTCTCTCTCTCTCTGTGACTATCATAAATAAATTTAAAAAAAAATTTAAAAAAATACCTTAAAAAAATAATAAAAAAATAAAAATATTAAAAAAGTGGTACGATTGGGGCAGCCATGGAAATGGAGCTCAGAGAATAATGTTATATTATAAATATATATAAATAGAATACTTGGCGTTGAATATGCCATTAAATTAAATCATGCCAAAGGCTGTATAACATCATCATATGCTAGCACCTGAAAGCTCTCCTTACCAAGTGGGGCTCTTGGCTAAATTAGTTGAAAGGTGCAGGTGGTGGCTCCAGCCTCACAGGGTTTTGAAGGATTCCATAAAATCCAGGCGCAAAGCACCTGAAGCACATTGACTTCCTCTTCTAACAACTTCTGTTTCAGTACAGGTAAACCTTGTATTAACGAGCTACTCCTGAAAAGTCGTGGATAAATCTAACGTTATGGAATGTTTTGGTGAAATATAGCAGCTTCTATGTAGAACAGTTGGAAGAATTTATAAATAAATCCTCCTTTTTTTTTTTTTTTTGTAAATCTAGCTTTCTGCATACAGCAATGGGTTTTCATAAAGTGATGGAGGGATGCATTTATTAATTTAGTGACTGGTGTACACCAGACTGAATAGTGGCTTTTTCCTGATTTGCTTGGGCAACTCACAACGTACCTTGTTAAAAGATCAATAAAATAAGAGCAGGTTGGACCAGATGGTCTTTAAGGTTCTTTGTAGATTTGGCCTCCTCATAAATTTTGACTTTAACCTGGGACATTACAGTGGAAAGCTCGTAAATTTTTGTAGAGCAGGAACTGTGCTCTCATATGGCTTCCTTGGAACCATTATGTGCCCTAATAAGTGCCAACTAGAACACTAAATATAAATGGAAATGGTAGAGTGACTTGTAGGGAGAAGGAAACATTTTTATCCATTTCCCCCAAATTGGAAAACAGATTTAGGTTTTTCTTTCTGATTTTTATATCTGTAATTGGGACCTATAATAAAAAGCACCACCCAGCCATACAGAACAGACATGAAGTCATGAATGAATTCCTTGATGTCCTTCTTGAAAGAGCTTGGAAACGAGATGCGCACACACCAGCTATCTAGCTAGCCAAGGTAGTGTGTGTCTTACGTCAGGAAAGCAATCTGAAACATTTTCTTTTTCCTATTTTATTTCACAATCAAGTGTATAATGTTGACTCAAGGAAGTTTCCTAAATCTGGAGAACTACAGAAGGCATAAACTTCTTCAAAGTTGCTTGTCTTTCAAGTAAAAATTTGAATTCTTGACAAAGAGAATTCAAAGTAAAAGAAACTTTGCAGTTGATTATAATTGTTAAGAAGTTAAAGTTCAAGGAAACAAGTGATTTAGAGAAAAGGACCCACAAGCTTTTATACTGAAGTTTTAAAATGAATTACTCAAGTTAAAACAAATAGTTCCATTGGTAGCCATACAACAGCGTGTTCCCCAAAAGAGCTCTCTAAAATGACTTTTTTAAAAAAAATTTAATTATGTGAGTACATTAGGGATATTTTTAAATCCTATGGGAATGGACAAAGTAGAATAGGGTTGTCAAGGGATGAGGGAGGAGGCAATGGAGAGGGACCCGGATGGGTATGGGATTTCTTTGGGGGATACCCTAAAATGGTAAGCTGCACAACTCTGAAAATACTAAAACCCACTGAATTGTAAACAGTTATATAAAGGGAGCCTGCAGACATCACTTATTTGCCCTATAGCTCTGGGAGACTTACCTGAGTCAGTGCCATGTGACCCTCAGTGTCTTTAGCAGTGCAATGGGCATAATAACTACCTCTGTAAAAATACAAATAAAGATAAAATTAAAAATTATTATGCCTTTTAAAAAATTGAGAAATACACTTGTAAAGTGAATCATTTTTAGAAATAAATGGTTTCTTTTTATCTTTCACACAATACTAATATTTGAAGTCATATTTCCTTAAAGTGAGGCACCCTCATATTCATTCAGCCGCTTGAGTGAAGTCTGGATACTGCGCCCAAAATGCGGGACACGAAGATGAACTGGACGTGGTCAGTCCCCTGACCTTCCCTGTGTGGCCCCAGGTTCTTACTGTTTCATACCCCACTTACTGTTTGTCGCCCTCATTACGTTGTCATCTCCTTAAGGGTTCAGGGATCATCGGGCACCACAGTGGGAGCTCCCTAGCACCTAACTTTACACTTGGTAGGTTCTCCATGATTGTTCTTCAGTTGAATTGCCTTAATCTATTGGTAAAGAGAAACTGGGTGGGAAGCAAGGAAGCTTGTTGAACCGCATTTGGGCTAAGCCTTGTGATTGGCACTTGACATTTTCTCATTGAATCCTCACTCCAGAATTAAAAATTTATCACCTTTTTATAGGTGAGAAAAAATGGTCAAGATAAATGTCTTTAAAAGGGTTACTATACTTTAATTGAAGACCTTCCAGTGTGCAAGATCCTGATGTTCTAGTCTTTACCTTTTTTCCCCCTCTGTGGCACACTGTCGAGTACTTTCCAGGGACTGGCTTATTTACTCTGCAAGAAACCCTCGAGACAGGCACTAATACTGTTCTCATTTTAAAGATAAGTAAACAGGATATGGATAGGGTAATTAACTTCCACTCTCACACTTCCATTCTAGAAAACTGGATCCTGCCTGCCATTGTGTAATTTTAACCACCATGGTTATTATTATTGCTCCTTATCTCGACTTAGCCCTGTCAAAGACCTTTGTCTCTGGACACTTTTTTCCTAATCACCCTTCCACAGATACATTTTATATTCTTTCATGTGCTTGATACTTAGAAATACAGCTTGCATCTCCCCACCCCAAGAATCAGTTGTTGCCCCCATGGGGACCTTATCTAAGTGATGTTCCAGTCACCAACAATGGGTCCATGTCTTCTATTGACAGTAGTCTTGGTGGCTCTGGGGCAGGAGGCTATGTGAACATTCCAGGAGACCTGAGCATATTGTTGTTGTGCTTGGGCTTTGCGGCTGAAGCTGACTAGTAACCTGACTGAAGCCCTTTAGATGAAGTGCATATCCCAGGTACATACGATCAACTTCCCAAGTTGACTAGAAAAGTTGTATCGTAGTTCTGACAACGAGCGTTATTGGCGTGATTCTTACTCCTGGCCTGCTACACCTAGGAAAGAGTGAAATAAGCTTGGATTCTTCCCTGTGAGCTCTGTTGATAGTCGTGTGTGATCCATGGGATATGAGATCTGAGATAAAGGTCAGTGGGTAATAGAAATCAATATTCCCTGTTACTTCAGATTCTCAGTATAACAAGTCTTGGTGCCCTTTATCTCAACTTTTTGTACCTTATTTGCCTTTTTGATATTTACTACACAGGAAGCATCCAGGATGCGGGAACATTGTGACATTTGCACAGTTTTTATTTATTGCTGTGGAAGGCTTTCTCTTTGAAGCTGATTTGGGAAGGAAGCGGCCAGCGATCCCAATAAGGTATGGCACATTGAAGTCTCCTTTAGCCGTTTTTTGTTTTTGTGTTTTAAGAAGTACAGGGCTTTTCTGGTACCTAGATAAAAGGAATATGAGACATCCTTTTATACAATCTGTGTAAAAAGATATTAGTAGAATAATGTAATTCAATTTCTGAATTTAATATGTTGTAAAACCCCAGGGAGCCTATTTTTAGAATAAAATTCCCACCGCAACACAATAATTATGACAGAGACAACAATGTGTATGTGTGTAATACATGGTTGGCTTAGTGTGACCACGATGTTTTTTAGTAGTTATGTATGCTAGCCTCATGTTGGTAAAGTTATCAAAAGCACTAAGAGTGGCATTATTGTTCCCTTTTAAAAATGAATGGTTTTGGGGAATAAACAAGTGGTGCTTATGCAGCCTTGTGTTACACTAAATGCCACTGAATTGTTCGCTTTAAAATGGTTGATTTTATGTTATGTGCATTTCCTCTCAATTAAAAGAAAGTGAATGGCAAGCTAAGGCAAAATTGTTGATTCCAGACCTCTACCCATTAGTCTGAATTTGCATTACTGTACTCAGGGGGCCAAATAGAAAACAAGACAGTTCTAATAAACAGTGTATTGAAAATTCAGCATTCTTGCTGAGAAGAACTTGAAATAAAAGTGTAAGGCATCCAAATGTGAGTCTGTAGTAAGATCAGGTCACTTAATCCCTTTGATATGGATATTCCTGGTGTGACCCTATCCAAAGACTGGTTAGGGCTCATAGTGGTTGGTGTTCTTTTGCAACATTCTTAAGTAGCCTGCTGCAGAAAATCTGGTTGAATTTTGTTATTAATCTTGGGACTTTAAATTTCCCAGCGTGATGCTCAGTATTCTGAATAGGTTTTTCATTAGCTTTAATATCTACGTAAAACTTTCTGCTTCCTAGACCAGCATTTACATCATGGTAGGAGCCTCTTTTTTTTTTTTTTTTAATTGCTCTGTTGTTTTATTTTCAAATTTTTATTTAAATTTTAGTTAACATACAGTGCAATATTGGTTTCAGGAGTAGATTCAGTGACTCATCACTTACATGCAACACCCAGTGCTCATGACAAGTGCCCTCCTTAATACCCATCACTCATCTAGCCCAGCCTGCAATCACCTCCCTCCATCAGCCCTCGGTTTGTTCTCTATTGTTAAGAGTCTTCCTATGTTTTGCTTCCCTCTCTTCCCCCCCACCATTTTCCATGTGTTCATCTGTTTTGTTTCTTAAATTCCACATATGAGTGAGATCATGTGGTATTTAGTATTTCTCCTACTGACTTATTTTACTTAGCATAATACACTCTAGCTCCATCTACGTGGTTGCAAATGGCAAAATTCCATTCTCTTGAATGGCTGCGTAATATTCCATTGCATATATTTACCACATCTTTATCCGTTCATAAGTTGATGGACATTTGGGCTCTCTCCATAGTTCAGCTATTGTTGATAATGCTACTATGAACATTGGGGTGCATGTACCTCTGAAAATCTGTATTTTTGTATCCTTTGGGTAAATATCTTGTAGTGCAGTTACTGGATCATAGGGTAGCCGTGTTTTTAGTTTTTGAGGAACCTCCATACTGTTCTCCAGAGTAGTTGTACCAGTTTTCATTCCCATCAACAGTGCAAGAGGATTCCCTTTCTCCACATCCTCACTAACACCTGTTGTTACTTATGTTAATTTTAGCCATTCTGACAGGTGTGATGTGGTATCTCATCGTGGTTTTGGTTTGTATTTCCCTGATTAAAGATATTGAGCATCTTTTCATGTGTCTATTAGCCATCTGGATATCTTCTTTAGAAAAGTATTTATTCGTGTCTTCTGTCCATTTCTTAACTGGATTGTTTGGGTCTTTTTGTGCATTGAGTTTGATAAGTTCTTTATAGATCTTGGATACTAACCCTTTGTCAGATATGTCACTTGCAAATATCTTCTCCCATTCTATAGGTTGCCTTTTAGTTTTGTTGACTGTTTCCTTTGCTGTGCAGAAGCTTTTTATCTTGAGGAATTACCAATAGTTCACTTTTGCTTTTGTTTCCTTTGCCTCTGGTGAACAAGTCTAGTAAGAAATTGCTATGGTCAAGGTCAAAGAGGTTGGTTGCTGCCTATTTTCTCCTTTATATTTTGATGGTTTCCTGTTTTTAGGTCTTTCATCCACTTTAAATTTATTTTTGTGTATGGTGTAAGAAAGTGGTTCAATCTCATTCTTCTTCATGCTGCTCTCCAGTTTTCTCAACACCATTTGTTGAAGAGACTCTTTTTTTTCCATTGGCTGTTCTTTCCTGCTTTTTGAGTATTAATTGACCACATAGTTGTGGGTCCATTTCTTGATTCTCTATTCTGCTCCAATGATCTATGTGTCCCTGATAGCCAAAGCAGTCCTGAAAGAGAAGAACAAAACTGAAGGCATCACGATTTCAGGTTTCAAGCTATATTACAAAGCTGTGGTCATCAAGACAGTATGGCACTGGCACAGAACAAGGACACCCCACACACACATTTTTGATTCCTCTGACCCTTTTCCCCCTCTTCCCACTGTCTCCATTCAGGTTGCCACTAGCACAATTCAGGAATCCATTCACTCTCAACCATTAACTTTTATAAGGTGTCCTAGCTGGCGTTTCTTGCCTCCCATGCCACGCCTCCATCCCTGTGCTTTGACTTCCTACTGTTGTATTGTGACATCCCCCTCTCACAAGCACTCAGGGGGTCACCAGTAGGTTCAGAGAGGAGCCCAGCTCCCTAACCTGCCCTTTGAGGCTCCCCTGGATCTTGCCCCAAAACTTCTACCTCCATGTGTTCCCATGGTGCTGGCTATTTTATTTTCTATCTGTGAAGTTGCAGTCAAAATCTTGAAATCATGGAAATGCCATTCATCCCGAGGAACAATTTCTAGGCCATTCTATGTAGGCACAATGTGGAATAGTTGGAATTCATTATTCTATAAGGCCTTCATGAACTCTATCTCCGAATGGCATTGTTTTAAGAAAATTTGGCAAGAAACCTTGTAGTATTTTAGAAGCTGTGAAATAGCTGTTCTTGGTGTTAAAAAAAAGTCAACTGAGTAAATTTGAAGATCTAAGTGGTTTTAGTAGATGATTCATGAATCAGGCAGTATCCATCTACCAAGAATAGAGGACCTCTACCTCAGCTAAAGAAGGGAAAGGCTCTTCAAGGCAGAGAGCATTAAAAAAAAAAAGAAGAAAGGAATTTATTAGCAAGATATGCATTGTTTAGGTGAGGTCACCTCAAAAGGAGAGCAGAAGGGGGTCTATCAGAAAATTCCTCAGTGTTGACCAGGGAATTCTACGTTGGCTGGTTAAAGGTGACATTGGGTGGGGGGAGGAATAAAGTCTTGGTTTAATGAGTTGGGTTGTTAACCTAAGTGACACAATTTGGGGCCTGTGGTTTTCTTTTGAGCACTACCCCCTTTCAGTCAGACTCTCAGCTCCGCTGAGAGATGTGATAAACATGTAAGGCCTTAGCACCACTCTCCAGTTACTGCCCTGAAGTTCTTTAAGTTTCTGTTGTTCCTTTGTGTGATATCCATAGATTGTAACCTTTTTCTTTAACCTCTGTAGTATTCACAGGTCACAACTTCAGATTACCACTCCTTAAATTGGTTATTTTGTTCCTTAGATGTTCCAGTTTTAGGGAGATCGTTTGCTTGATGGTTAGTGCCTACATGTATTTCAGGGTTGTGAAAGAATACAATGCACCAGAGAGATTATTGTCATTACCATAAGTGGGATAAATCCCAGTATTTGGAGTGCACTTTAGAACCATTGTCCCCAAGACCCAGACCAATCAAAATCAAACGAGTCCAAGACTCTGTGAAGAGTCACCTTTTTAAGCCCAGTGACTTGTTCTGTGATCCTACCTGAGTTTTAGCATCCCCGTGTGTTCTGTCCAGGCACACCAGGTGGTATTGGCCACAGCACAGGTACCTCCTTTGTCAGCTAATAGATAATAGCTGTTCTGTTATCTGGGAAATAGGGACCTATGAAAAGGAGTGAATTCTGAATCATGAATGTCTTCTGGTAGGCCCCCTCCCCTTTTCTTAAAAAAAAGATCTATTTATTTTAGAGGGGGCATGTAGAGGGAGAGAATCTCAAGCAGACTCCCCACTGAATGTGGAGCCTGATGCAGGGCTCATTCTCACCATCCTGAGATCATGACCTGAGCTGAAATCAAGAGTTGGGCACCCAACTGGCTGAGCCACCAGGCACCCTGATAGGCCCTTTCTAACTCAACAATGTAAATTTAGGGAAGTCGACCAATGAAGTGTCTTATTTTATCTGTGAAAAGTTAGGGGGGGGCACAGTTAGATTTTTTTCTATTTTGAAATAAAGGGTTGTTTAAATTTCAGAGGTTGCTGTGTTATAAGGACATTGAGACAACAAAATCTGGCAGTGAGGGGCTATTTTTGTGGAAGCAGAATGGATTTTATCCACATGTGCCACAGTCTTACAAATACAATATGAAGGCTTGGTGTTATTTTTTTGACAGTGTTTTCCATGTAATTTACACATCAAATGAGCCTAATTCATTTAACAAGTCCTTTGGAATGTTTGGGTCAAAAAACTTCACTTATAATTTGGTTGAGGAAGTTACTAAAAAAATTTTTTTTAAGATTTGATGTATTTAGTTGAGAGACAGCGAGAGCACAGGGGAGAGGGGCAGAGGAAGTGGGAGAAGCAGATTCCCCATTGAGCAGGAAGCCTATTGTGGGGCTGGATCCCAGGACCCTAGGATTATGACCTGAGCCGAAGGCAGACGCTTCACTGACTGAGCCACCCAGGAGTCCCAGTCAAAAATATTTTTAAAAAAGGTTTTAAAGTTCTTACCTAAATAGGATCACAGATTACCACAAAATCTAATACTTAAAAAGTGAAAGAGATTTTTACAGTCTTAGCCAAATGAGACCAAAAGCCTAAGAAAATCTTGTCCTTTTAATTGAGATAAAACCAAATTCTACTTTT